GGCGCGGGGCCCCTGCGGGCGCGGTGCGGCGCGGTCGGGTTCGGCTCGGCGCGCCCGCGCGTGTGCGCGCACCCGCGGGGCGGGGGGCCGCGGCTTTGGGAAGTTGCGCGGGGAGGAGGCGGGGGCGGAGCGGGGCGCGGAGCCGGAGCCGCCGCGGGCGCTCGGAGCCGCCGCCGCGGAGCTCGTCCCGGCCGCCTCCCGCCCTTCCCGGGACGCGGAGCTCGGCCGCCGAGCGTCCCTTGCCTGCGCATGGAGAACGCCGAACGTTCCGTCCTCGGCGAGCCGTTACACACCCATCGCCCGCCGCTCCCGGAGCGCTGTCCGCGTCCGCGTTGCGCGCATCCGCTCCGCCCGGCACCGCGTGCCACCGCCGCGCCGTCCCCGCAGGAGCTGCCGCCGCCGGGATGCGGTTTCCCCACGAGCGGCGGGAAGGGATGCGGCGCTAAGGCGAGCGATGGAGCACCGACAGCTGCAGGGGGAGCCGAGGCTCCGGCGCATCCCACCTCACCCCACCCCACCCCATCCCATCCCATCCCTCCCGGCTCCCGGGGCCGCAGCTGCTCCCCCCGCCGGCGGTACGAGCAGGCGCAGCGCGGCCCCAAAGTTTCTGCTCTTGTCGCTGTGCCTCCGTCCTGAGCCTCCGCCGCCGCGTCTCCTCCAGCCGCAAGCTCGGGCTTGTTTCTTTTTCTCTGTGCACATTGAGCGACTACGGAACGCGCAGAGAACAAGCGAATGCGTTGGGAAAGGCTTTGGGTATCTTAAGAGGTGTTTCTTTAAAGCCCGGTGCGTTTTCTGTGTTTCCAAGAGTGCTGGCAGTGGGAAGCTGTGTTATTCCTACAGCTCATTTATCAAAAGAATGGCATCTTTTTTTTTTTTTTTTTTTTTTTGGGGGGGGGGAGGGAGAGAGGAGGAGAAGATGAGCTTATTTAGATGATATAATTAAAGAAGCCTTTTTATGTGAATTTGGTGATGGATTCTTCAATGCTACCCTTGGTTACAGGTAGAAACGCCACTGATTGCTCAGTCAGTTCTCTTGCAGGAGCAAACCTTCAGTGCTCCTCAGTGCAAGGAAGAGGCATTAAGCAGCCACAACTCATTCTGTGCAAAGCAGTCACACCAAGAGCAAGGTTAAGCAGAAATGAACGTCACTCCACTGCCTGCCCGAGCCTTTGCATCTTCCTGCTTCTACACAAGCAGGTTCTGGGAACACAAATAAGTTCCTTCAAGCAAGCAATGCAGAGTAAAGGTCGGCGTTGTCCCTGTGACACCCAACAAGTCCCTGCTTGTTGCAGTGCTCCGTGTGGATGGGCTGCAGCTGCCAATAGGGGGAGGGAGGAGGGCTGTCTTCCCGACGAGCGCAGGCATCAGATCTATGAGGGCGTCCTAAATAACAGGCGGCTTTGTTTCATTGTTTTTCTCCATGTAAACCTTGGAGCGGCGGGATACCCCCCCCCCACCGCTATGGCAAGCTCCAAGCTGGGGCTCAGCATCTTTGGAGGCTGAGGCAGGAAGCCACGAAACACAGGGATACGTGTGCAAACCCAGAGCTTTACCCACAGTGAACTTCATCACTGCAAATTACCGCTGCTTTAGCAAAAACAGTATCAAAGCACAGCGTTCGCCTGGGCACAGTCCTTCTGCGGGCTGTGTGTGCTGAGTTGAAAGGAAAAGCTCAGTGCTGCTGCAAGCCCAGCGACTTTATCATCCATTAAACCTGGCCAACTGACATGAAAGGTCCTAATAGAGAGGTAGGGAAGAAGGGGCAATTTTCAGTCTCTCAGGAGCCTGAGAGACACTGGAATGCAGTTAAGTAGAAGACAATCAACTAAGGCTTAAACAAACCCAAACGAGCAAACATTAATGAGAGCTATCTTGTGTTTGAAGCAAATCCTCTTAACTTATCCCCACTTAAAATATTTCCCCAGCTGTGCCAGGCGCGCAGAGCAGCAATTGCAAGGTTTTGGACCCAGGCTGGGCTAGGAACACGTGCAGAGCCATGGAACCACTGAGGTTGGATAAGACCTAAGGTCACCCATCTGCTCAGCACCAGCACTGCCCACCCACCCGTGTCCCTAAGTGCTACACCTGCCTTTTCCTTGAATGCCCCCAGGGATGGGGCTGTCAGTAGGGAGCTCAGGGCCCAGCTTGGAAAAAAAAAAGGGGGGAGGAGGAAAAAACCTGCATTGATATGGCTGTGAGCATCCTTGGTGTTTACAAACATGAAGATATAAATCAGCAAACCTTGGTGGGCTGCCTCAGCACAGCGAGCACACCGTTCTCAGCAGCAGATGGACGCCAATGTTGGCCCCTTTGCCCAGCTTGCCACCGGGGTTGCCGAGCAGTGAGGGATGGAGCTGCAGAGCTGCTGCATGAGGGAGCAGCCCACTGAGGAGCAGGAAGCATGAATTAGCCCCGATTAAAGTAGGAGGGAAGGAAGTCATTAGCGTGTTCATTTGCCTGACTTGTTCTTCTTCGTTCCACTAAGAGCACAGAGTTCCTGCAGGCTGGTGCCAAGCTGCAAGCACCCACGGCACCCTGTGCTGCTCGGAGGTGCTCAGCCAGCCCCAGTTCTGGGAGAAAAGAGGGGTTCCTCGCCCCATATCCACACTTGTTGGGCTCCCCCAAGCAGCACCTGGGCTGCACCCACCCCATATGAACCTTAATGGGTGCAGGCACCCCAAGGGTCCCCTCACCAGGGGACTTTCCCAAGGAAATGGGTTAATTCCCTGTGCTGGGAGGGCAGGGCACTGCTGGCTGCAGCTGCCAAGGAGGGAAAATTGCCGGGGTTGTTGTTAGCCATTTCCCTTTCATATGGAAAAAAGCATAAGTGTTACTTAGAGATTGCAAAGGAGAGAGGGCTATAATGCAATTGCTTCCTCCTCCTGTGATCGCACTTTGGTTCTCGTGTTAACAGGGAACAGCACTCTGCAAAGAAAGCACCTAGCAGGTAGCACAGCCTGAACAGCTCTGGTGGCAGCGTGAGCTTCACCTGGGGATGCTCTGATGGGCCTGGGAGGCAGCGGGGTGAGAGCTGCTACACAGCATCACAGAACTGCATCAGATTCACAAACTGTGCGTGCTTCCTCAGCCCTTTGCAGGGCTGCTACGGATTCCTCTTGCTTTGGCTCTGTTTGTCTCATAAATCTCAATGATGCTGACAGTTGGGCACGGTTTAATTTTGCAAATCTGAGAAATGATCAGGCCAATTTAGTTCGCATTTAAACCGTTTGTGTTCACACGCTGGAAAGCCTCTTTTTTTCTTTGCTGCTCCGTGCTTTGGGCCCCTATTATCCTCTGGAGCTATTTATCAATGCACAGCAGGTATATTACCCAACGGTCTCTTTCGTAAAGTGATACAAAATAATCATTCCTGCTCCTCGTCTGCTCAGGAAGAAAAGTGAGGCCGACTCTCATGCATGTCAGCAATCCTGAGCCGTGGTATTTTTGTATTACTGCAGGATAAGTGATTTAACTCAATAAGCTTTCCCCATAAATGGCAATGGTCGCATCAAACGGCAGAAGGTGTGAGTGAATCCGTGCAGCTCCATCACTCCCAGCTCCCACTGCCACCCATGGGTGACACCAAAGGACACCCCAGCCCCATTTCCTAGGCCCAGAGCCCGCCCTGCAACAAACGAGCAGCCTCTAATTATGCCCTCTGCCCACCGCTCCTCCTTCACGTGCACAACACAGCTCCCCATCCCCTCTTCTCCATGCAGATCTGTCTGCACTACGCAAAGAATTGAGCAGATCCGTTATGCTGGTTAATTGATACCAACGTTTGCAGTTTATGCCATGGCTGGTGGGATGCTGCTGGTTTGCAACAGTGAGCGAAGAAACTGCTTGGGTAGGGTGCTTCTCCTCCTGGTTATTATTCAAAGCTTGGTGAAGTGCTTTGAGATGTCTGCAAGCCTGAAAAGCACTACGGGAAGCATACAGTCAGATTGCAGGTTTCCCAGCCCTGCTTCTGTCCAAAGATTTAATATCAGGAAAGCAAAGCCACTGCCTGGAGTCAGGGCAACGATGGCGACCTGGTGCCCAGGGCACGAGGGATCCCACGGTGCCCAGCCCTGACCCTGCGAGGCTGCAGGGATGATTGAGCTCCCTGCCTTTCCTTGAGCTCACAGAGTGCTTTTTGTTTGGCTTTCTCCTCCCCCCGGGGAACAAGTTGAATATTACCTTCCCATTAATTTATACGAGAGCATTTCCAAATAGTAAACTTTCAATAAATTAGTAATGCTGATCTATAAAAAGGGGAAAAAATGGTGTGTTGCAAGTTTATAGCCCTGTGGAAAAGCCGTGAAGCAGAGGCAGCACAGCACAGGGATGCTGCATGCACTGCTCCCTTCCTGGCCAGCCAGGGCCAGCACCTGCTGGTGACACAGCACTGTCACCTCTGTTCTCACCTGCTCAGGGCTGATATACTCCAGTTCAACTGGCCAAGTGTTATTCTGGGGTGCATATGCTGTATCCACAAGGGAAGGGTTCCCACCCTGGGGCTGAACTCTCAGCCACTGCAGCTCCTTCCCCGCAAGCAGGACGGCTGCAGGAGCTGCTTGTGAGCACAGCCTGCCCTGTCAGTGCCACTCTAAATATAAGTGGAGCTGATTGATCGTTTTCCCACTGAAGGATACAGAAATGAAGCAAATAGCATTTGGCACCTGAGGAATCCGTGCTCCCCCGCTGCTCTGCGTGCGGGTCTCAGCTGTAATGGATGCAACACATCGGGATGGAAATCTGCCTCCTTCTGCACACTGCTCCACGTCTTCTTTTTCTGCACGTTTAACGTGAGCTTCGGGAGCTGCTCATTACCTGGCAGCAGCACTA